CAATTTTTATGTTAACATTTATAGCATTTTAATTTAAGAAATTTTATTTATTAATATATATTTAACATATGAAATTTTATAACATTTATAGCATTTTAATTTAAGAAATTTTATTTATTAATATATATTTAACATATGAAATTTTATATAATTAATTAAATTGTAATTTAAAAGTTGATTTTGAAAGCATAATTAAAATATGAATGACTTGCAAAACACTTTCTTATTACTTTTTATATATAGTGTTGGTTGCCCAAAATAAAAGAAATAAAAAATGCTCCTATAAAATATGAAAACGACACTGCGTTTTTAAACCAAATTCATTGTTACTGATCTGATCCAAGCAACAAAATGATGATTAGGTATGTAATTATTTATCAGGTATTCTGGAATTCAAGTTAATCATTTGTTGTGTCTATAGAATAGAAATAGTTCTGTTAGGTACCTTGGGGTGCCACTAATAACTGGCTAGTTAATAGATGCAGCATTAGAGCCCCACGTATCAAAAATTATTGACAGAATTAGCTCTTGGACTTCGAGACGTTTATCCTTCGTAGGGAGAGGTTGCAACTTATCAATTCAGTACTCCAAGGCATAACAAATTTTTGGTGCTCCGTTTTTTATTTTGCCTAAAAAAGTTGTAAAATCAGTGGAAGCCATTTGCAGTGATTTCTTGTAGAAAGGAAAGGCCGCCATGTTAGGGGAGCAAAAGTTAATTGGACAGCAGTTTGTCAACCCAAAGTGGAAGGTGGATTAGGCATTAAGCCATTGCATGAGTGGAACAAGGCCTGCATTTTGAGATTTATCTGGTTACCATTTTCAACGGCTGGTCCGATATGGGTTGCTTGGATATATACATATATATTTGATTCGAGGCAGAAGCTTGTGGTCAATAAGAACCCTTGGAGATATGCTTCATGGAGCTGGAGGAAAATTCTAAGTTTGAGGCAAACAGCTTGATTCTTGATTAAGCATATTTTTGGGACTGGGGAAAATGTTTTTCTCTCGTTTGACTATTGGCACCCAAAGGGACCACTCATTTAAGTTTACGGTCACAAAATCGTGCAGGATACCGCAATCCCATTACAAGCAAAACTATCTCAAGTGGTCCAAGGAAATTTTTGGAAATGGCCTCCTACTCGATCCTCTGAGCTATTGCAAATCCAGATTGCTTTATGCAGCACTTTGAACCCTGATCAAACCATGGAAGACTCTTTCGTATGGTTGGCATGTTCATCGGGGACATTTAAAACAAGGAGCACCTAGAATCATTTGAGGGAGAAGCACTTAAGGTACACTGGTCAACACTGGTTTGGTTCTCAAATTCTATACCATGACATAGTTTCATGTCTTGGCTTGCTACACTCGACAGGCTTTCAACTAAAGCACAGCAGAAGTCATGGTCACCTCATATTGATGATACTTGTGTGTTTTACAACACTGCAAGTGAGACAAGCGATGGAGCAGCGGCATCAAAGTTGTGATGTTGCTACCACAAAACAGCAAAATAGTGCAGCAAGAAGCTGAATTTATGGGAGAAAATGTGCAGCAATAAAGCTGCTTCAATGGAGGAAAGAAAGATGCAGCAAACTGTTGCATTATGGAAGAAAATGAAATGCAAAATGCAAATGAAGGCTGCAAATTAGTCAACAAAAGTGTAGCAATGTGATAGTGTTTCAATGTACCTTTTATGTTAGTTTATATATTACAATCTTTAATTAAATGTTAGGATAGATTTTGCAGGAAACATGGAGCCATAAATCATGGAAAGTAGGTGAAAAATATTGTTTTTATCTTCTGCTATAAATGGGCAGACATGTTACTAGAAACATGAGAGAGTTGGAGAACAATTTCTCCTCTCCTCCCAGTTGAGTGAATGTCTGCACCCTTCCTAGTGTCATGTTCTAAGTTCTACTCTTCCCCTACTCTCCTCCAAGTCCTTTCTCGAGCCCTTCTCCTTACCTCAAAAATCTAACAAAGAAATCATCTGTTCTTCTCATGTTTCTATTCTAAGCTGATTTAGGACAAAATTTCCTCTATGTTGGAGGTCCCTTCTACTCCTTCTTGGCAGCCTCTTTTGACTTGGTTATCTCAAAAGGCCAAGCATAAGGCAATGTATAGTAGTTTGATACAACAAGCCTGGTGTGCAGCAATCTACCACATATGGATAGAAAGAAATGCCATAATCTACTAGCAATTTTTCATGGTGACTCTGTAGTTGTGGATAAGATTCAAGCAAATGTTCGAGATAGGGTCTTAAATTTACGAAGGAGAAATTTGTTAGGGCAAGTGTATCTCAAGATTATCCTACATGATCTACACTCAATGACACCATGATTCCAGGATTTACTCAATCTGTAATTTATGTGTTTATTATATCGTATCATATATATTATTTCCGTATCAGTTAGGATTCTGTGTTAGTGTTTCTGTATATATATTGTTTACAAGACAACAATAAAATACAACAGTTTGCCTCTTTCAGTCTTTATCCTATTAGTGGTATCAAAGCACTCCATGCTTTCACAAGTCTTGATCATAGCTACCCAACTCTGCTGCATCCAAAACCTCCCCAAACTTTGCTGCAACTGTCCTCAATCCTGGCCTCACCAAAAACCCCCTGTCCTTCAATTCAGCCGCATTCCCTGTAAAGCTAATGTCCACTAACTATATGTTATGGAAGGCTCAATTTACTTCTTTGCTTGCAGGTTATGAACTAGATGGCTATCTCAATGGCAAGAACCCTTGTCCAGTTGCAACCACGTTGGAGTATAGCTTGTGGGCCCGTCAAGATCAATGTTACATCATTATCTTATCACCTCCGTCTTAGAGAACATCACCGCCTATATTGCCATTGCTTCCATAGCGCAACAGGCATGGGAAATGTTAGCAAGGCTCTATGCTAATCATTCTCGCACTCGGGTGATCACCTTGAAGGAACACCTCCAAAACATGAGATGTGATGTCGTTCTGTCGCATCCTATTTACGTGGTCTCAAATTACTGCTACTGATAAATTGAGAACTATTGGTCATCCATTCAATAATGATGATCTTACAGTTTATATTCTCAATGGTCTTGGACTTGAGTTCGAGAGATTACAACTCCTCTCTGAGCACGAGACTCCTCTCTTTCCTTCGATGGCTTGCATGACTAATTGGTAGCTCATGAAGAATGTCTCAAACGTGAAGAAGCCCACCTTGAGATCACATCGGTGACCACTCACTGTGTTGCTGCTTCCTTTAATTCCAGTACTGATTCCTTTTCTTCATTAAGTGCAGGCAACTCTCCAACCTTTCTTGGCCGCCACCCTCAATAGGTATTCCGTGGAAATTGGAATGGGTAGAACTATTCCAATCGTGGCAATCAAAATCAACGTCATAATTTTAGCCCTAGGCCCATAACTCGACCCACCAATTCAGGATGCCAACTGTGTGGCCGTGTAGGCCACTTTGCTAAAAACTGCCCCAACTAAACTGTCCCAACTATTGAATGCAAGCTCTTGGGCCTATGGCAAATTTGGCCTACTCCTCTACTGCTTTTGGTGTCGACAACCACGTGACCATTGGCTTGCCTAACTGGGCACTTCATTTTTTAATACAATAATCTTAGTGAACTCCATGTTGGTGATGGAACATGTTTAAAAATCACACATGTTCCTTCTATCTCTCTTAATTTAATTTTTGTCTCTCAATTACATAAACATGTCAATGTTTATATCGAATTTCACACTAATTTCTTTTTGGTGAGGGATTGTTGCAT